TCATCTCTCAGGCCTCAGATTTGGAAACGATATTATGTTGTTGAGTTTGCATCTTATTATGTATCCATCTGGTATGTATTGTAGCTACGAAAGAGTATGTTATCTAAGGCTGTTTTTTGTCCAAACTTGTACTTACTGCATCGTGCACGCGTTTATGGTAGTTTGCACTCGAAACCGTATCCCGAGTAGTTATTGTAAAATGCATGGTCGAACAAGAATTCCAGAGAAATTCTGCGTGTAGTCGATGGAGGAGAGTTTATATTCAGAGGCAGGTAATCATATATCGAAATATGACAAACACCTCTTTAATTGATTCATAGGAATTTAGGACCCATACAATTTTCACACAAATACAACAATCGCAGGTTTACTCGAATCGATTTGTTTACTTTTGTCTTTTTTCCAATTCTCTTACAGACAGAGCTTGTTTGTTTCTTTCAGATTTTAACAGCGAAATTGTCAATCGTAGTACACTACCGTTGCTGCCGAGATCAGTTGTGTGCAAAATACAGACGTTCGGGTGGATGTTTTGTTAAAGATGTTGAATGAAAAATAAATTATTTTATAAGTTTGCTAAACTTGTTTTTTCGCTTCTTTCCCTTTTTTAGTTTATAGTCGTATCAATATGTCCATTTATCTGCAGTCGCAACTCTGTAGTATCGCTTTAAAGAAAACTTCCATCTTGTGTCCTAAGGTAGTAGTGTAGGTTTATCTACTCGTTCTAAAGTTAACATAACGTCCTTCAGACTATATTCATGTCTACATTTCGATACATGTCAACAAATATAAAATCATTATCTGAATTTATTTTCATATAGAATCTGTGAATCTTAAGGAAAGTAATTGCTGTTATTTCTGATCACACCGCACGTGGATGCCATGAAAAAATAACATTTCACAGCACTTATTCCATCCAATGGGAATATTTCGTTAAACCTCAGTTTTTATATATCAGGAGATCGCACCTCCTCTTTTTAGATTCGACTTGCCCCATATGTATATAAATAACATCTAAAATAACAAATCATAATTTTCTTAAGAAGTTTAACACAGTCACAAGGATTTACCAATTTAAATACAATACAAAATTTCTTAATTATGTTAAATAATCCATATGCATGCCAGGGCACATTCAATTATTGTCGTTTTTGATTTGGATTTAACGTCATTCTTTAGCGCATAACAGGCTATACATAATTGGCAGTATATCTAGTGAATAAAGAACCAGCGAAAGCCCCAGAAGAATCGCTGACTCATGGGAAGCTACTGACAAGCTTTTCTACATACCCATGTTCGCAAAGACCGAGACTCGAACCAACGCAGAGATGAAACTTGCAATGATCGGTAAGAGCTAGTCTGTGACAACTTGGGCACCTGAGGACGCAGATCATCTAAATAATAAATTTAATAAGCATGGTTCTAACAGAACTTTAGACTGTACCTGAAGAATATGCTAAATTCATTCTAATCAAGATTTAACTGCCATTTTACCTCAATTTACCTTAAGTATACAATACATGACTCTTGTTTCATGGTAGGAATTTTAAAGTATGTTTTCTTTTCAGTAATATTTGTTGTTCCTATTTCTAATTCTAATAATAAAAATTGTTACAGATATCACGAGGATATGATTGTAATTACTATCGATGCCTGCAAAATCTCAAACTACTACAATACGATAAATGAATCCCGTTGCAAATTCGTAGTGAAATATGCGGAAACAGAATTAAAACCCCATAATTTTAATTCTTATTGATTTTTAAGGTCACAAATAAGACATTATAGTTATATGGTTATAAGCATTTACCTAATATCATAAAAACCTAGATTTTCTAATTATATGAGGGTACAGTTATGAAAGAGTGAACATGGAATAATTTTGTTAATATATCTGCAACCAGACTGGCAGCCTTTTTCCCTGTTGCAACCGAATTGAACTCCATTTCCCTGCTACTACCCTGATTGACATCCACTTCCCTGCTGCATCCAGATTGGCACCCATTTACCTACTTGCAGCCGGATTGGCACCCATTGACATCCTGTTTATCAACAACAGTTTCTTATTCTTCAGAAGAATACAAGTTTGGAATGTTCAGATATCAGGAAACCCTGCAAAATCTTCTTTCTTCTTTAGATTCGCGTTCCAAACTATGCAACTTTTCCAGAATGTTTCAATCACTGTTGTCCAAACGCATAATTCATTCAATCATATTTAAGTTTATTCTGAGCTTTGCATTAATATCTAAACGTTGTCCCTGTTTATTGGATGCATACAAAGAGGCCAATATACTGACATATAGACAGGAATGCTAACTCAAGATCTGACATACGTATAGGCATAGTCACATGTGAAGAAATTATTTCATCACCTTCAAGTTAGTCTTTATTTCTGAAACTTTGTTACAAAAAAAATCCTTTCAACTTCCATAACAATTTGAGAGAATATATTGCATTGAAAATTGGTATGAATGCATAGTTCTGTATTAGCAATATCGTCCGAACAAGTACACTTGTTCGCTTTGTTCGCTTTGTCATGTCATCAATAAATCTACCTTTCATGATTACAAAACGATTACATTTTGACGTAGAGCTTTAATGGATGAGTGTATCTTATACAATTTTGTAAGAGACAATTGACCTTTATGGGAATGCATTCTCGACGGAGCTGCTCTTTACTAGAAAATTAAAGAGAACATAATTTTCCTTGATGAAATAGAGAGGGAAATATTACCTATATGAAATAAAGGGGGGGACGACATTACATTATATGAAATAACTAGAGAACAATATTACCCTAGAGGTAAAAAAGTGAGTGCAATATTATCATTTAATTTAAAGACAGGTCAATATTACTTTGAAGGTATATACAGAGGAAAATATTGCCAGTTAAAATAAAGAGAGGGCAATGTTATCTACATAAAATTACTCAGTAAGAAGTAGAAGAATGTATTATACCCTAATCTAACATGTATTAAATTCGTGTACAGGACTCGCTACCACAATAGTACAGGTTCCACTCACTCCAAGAGAAAATTCTTTGTCCCTAGGTAGTTAACTGTATGCTATTGCCTTAGTATTATAGACCCTTTCACGTTTTTATATGCTGTTAAGTGGTAATGAATTCAGTCACTCAAATTTGGCTGAAGTCATATAAAATAACTCTTGTATGATGATTCTAATATATCTTCTTGCAGCAGAAAATATTCCTTCATGAGAATACTTATAGCCAATAATAGGTCTCTTCATAATATTTTTCAAATTGACATGGTCTGTGCTATTAGTATAGAGAGATTAAAAAGTTACCTAAACAAAACAGTGATACAGCAATAGTGCCTATATGAAATAAAGAGAGAACAATAGTACGAAGATTAAATAAAGAGGGAACAATAGATTCAACATGAAATAAAAAGAGAACAATAGTACCAATATGAACTATAAAGAGAACAATAGTACCAACATGAAATTAAAAGAGAACAATAGTAACAACATGAAATAAAAAGAACAATAGTACCAACATGAAATAAAAAGAGAACAATAGTAACAATATGAAATAAAAAGAACATGAAATAAAAAGAAACAACAACAACAATCAAGGGATAAATAAACAACATGAAATAAAAAGAAGTACCAACATGAAATAAAAAGAGAACAATAGTACCAAAATTAAATAAAGAGAGAACAATAGTACATAGGATTGAGTCAAATAATAATAGTTTTTTTCAGAAACATAAGCCCATTAAGCAAAATGTTTTTTTATTTTTACAGTACAAAATATAAATAATGATATTTGCAAGAAAGAAAGCGTAGAATAACCATATGATACATGCTATATATACCTAGATTATTTTCCCTTTCAATGCCATTTTAGGAATAATTTTCATATTTAATATGAATATTATAAATAGAGGAAATAGTTAAAAAAGAAATACCTTCTTACAAAAAAATACATATAATTGTCGCCCTACTTTTCTTATCAAAATCATTATTATATCAATATGAAGAAGTTATGTGGTTGTGAGAGTTGTCTCATATTAACTTTCTCAGTCGGTGGATTAGCACATATAATATATGATCTTAATTAGGTCTATATGCGATGCTGCCATATTACTGATCTTGTTGATGTAAACGCCAGGTAAGAAGCCAAGATATTACGGGGATATGCAAGTTGTGCCTAAAGATGTGGCCAAAGTTATTCTGTGAAGTTTCCACTTTTTTTCCTTCTAAAGTTGAGAGATAAGTAAACTATCGTTCGCTATGTGCATTTTAATGAGTGCAAGTTGCACGTAAACGATGCAATGGACGTTGTTCCTTGTGATTTTCTTGCTTGCCTTTTCTTCAATCAAGGGATAAATAAACCTGCTTACTTTTTATGTACTGACTGAACGTAAGGCATCACATTTGCAAGGAACTAATTCTTTTGTCAATGTCGATCTATTTGCCCTAAAAAGCCATTTGAATAGTTCCGAACATGTTAAAATCCAGATAAGAAAATTCATCACACGTAATCTGAGTTTTCAAACTAAGTCATTTAATAGGCGTAAAAACGTTACATTATTTCTTTGTAAAAGCAATATGCGTCCCCGTATGGCAGTTGAAATTAATGGTCTGACGGAAAATTCAATGCGTATTCTTCACAAAGAATTGGAGATAACAAATCTATTATCGATACATTCACCTTTTTTTGTAATCTGATACAGTGTTTTACAGCTTTACATGGTCATGATAAATATATAAACCAAGTGCACTCGAAATTTATATTTGAAAGATATTTGTGTTTGTATGTGTATGCGTGTGTGTGTGATTTAGTTTTTTAACGTAGCTTTAACAGTTTTTAAATCATATCGCTACGATTTCTGCAGGGTGAGATGCCGCAGACATGTAGCATGATGTTACACCCAGTCAAATTATCCAGATACCAGGCCAACCAGTCCTAACACTAATCTCTTAATCCTGAGCGCCAAGCAAAGCAGCTGTTAGCACCATGCTGAAAGTCTTTGGTATCACTCGACCGGGACTCGAACCCACGACCTTCCGCATCCGAGGCGGACGCTCTAACACCTGGGCCATCGGAGCGGTTGAAAGACATTTGAATGGAACAAGAAATCAAATAAGTTATGGAATTGGAGTATGCATATTAGTATATACAGCTATTCAGCTATAATTACCCGACAAACGCATGCTATATTTTGTATAAGGTAATACTTTCATGTTATCAATAAATCAAATCTTTATTTGATAATTTGCCCTATTCGCCAAAGTTTGAATGAGCATTCGGATTTAAAATCAATACTCTATTGAAACATTCAAATATAATTTTATATAGAGAGAGTTAAAGTAATGTGGAATTGCATTATTATGTTGGACCTAAAAACGTGCAATATGCACCTATTCAACAAATTCAATGGGAAAAAATAGGAATCGTATGAATTCAGCTGATACATACGAGAGCATAAGTAATAACATGTCGTTATATTATAGTATTTTCATAAGTCCTGCAATGTGCCCTTTTTATTTATGTGAAATGATGCAAAATTTTCAATTTTACTGATGATTTGATATGTATGTATGTATGTATGTATGTATGTATGTATGTATGTATGTATGTATGTATGTATGTATGTATGTATGTATGTATGTATGTATGTATGTATGTATGTATGTATGTATGTATGTATGTATGTATGTATGTATGTATGTATGTATGTATGTATGTATGCATGCATGCATGCATGCATGCATGCATGCATGCATGCATGCATGCATGCATGCATGTATGTATGTATGTATGTATGTATGTATGTATGTATGTATGTATGTATGTATGTATGTATGTATGTATGTATGGTCGAAGCAAATGATAAGTTTGTTAGCAGCGGTTGACTTGAAAGATTGCTGCAGTGTTAGAAATGGACTCTACTCGAATTTGTATTTAGGATGGCATTTAACGTCTCCACGAGACAAGGAATCAGGTGACTCTAGGTAAAACTGATCTTGTTTGGACAAATCTAATAAACATTGTAACTGCCATATTCTGCCTGTCGTTGTAAAAAAAAGCATTCAATTAATCGTTAAACGTATTCAATATGATGCTGTTCTGGAAAAAGTGAATTTATCTTATAGTTATACATACGAACTCAGACAAGGTTTGACTGATGAAATTATACATTTGTTTTATTAGGATAAAAGACCAATATAGATCGAATTCTAAGATCCTAGCCAAATACATGCATGATCGTTTTAATATTACGAAGAAAACTATTCCATTAGGTAAAAAAATATCATAATTGCGTAATGATTTAGTATTACCGTCATTAAAACGAAAACCGTCTTTAAGTTTTTAACTCATTAGTTTCCTCCCCGGCTAAATTTGAACGCTCTCGTCACGGGTATGGACCCCTTAAACACTTTTATGTTAAAATTATTGCTTATATTTGATATTGTTATGATACATATACTCTCAATATATATATATATATATATATATATATATATATATATATATATATATATATATATATATATATATATATATATATATATATATATATATATATATATATATATACATATATATATATATATATATATATATATATATATATATATATATATATATATATATATATATGTATATATATATATATATATATATATATATATATATATATATATATATATATATATATATATATATATATATATATATATATATATATATATATATATATATATATTCACATGTGTACACCAGCTAAACTCCGTGGGGTTTTCATGCATCCGAAGAGGTTTTTGTCTGACTATAAGCCTCAAGAAATGATGACGTTGTTGAAGATGTTTGGAAATGTATTCCTTTATTCGTGTGTGTTGAACGAGCGCAAAGGTACTACCAAAATTACGACACAAAATACATCTGACATGAAACAAAGATTTTTGGATCCATTTTGATACACCCATTGAACTTTCTTTTTTATATCACATGATAATTACAACATTGATATTTTGATAATGATACTGCAAGAAAGCAAGTTACGCTTCAGCTTTCACTTCTTAGTTTGAATGATACTGCGAAAAACTATTCCCACTAAAGATTTATTTCCCTTGTTACTAAAATTAACCATTTTACTTAGGAATCATATGATTTGCTTCAAATGCAGGATCAGTTACTTATTTGTTTGGCTGTCATGTCTATTGTATAAGTCGCAAATCACAAATGTACTTATATCACACTGCACAGCGAAAAGCGTAATAGTGCAACGACTTGAACTTCGAAGAGAATAAATATGGTTTAATTACTGATTTTATCGACTGAGTAACGCTTGACAGAAACACACTACTTTTGAATAAGATTGAGTATTTTAAACCTCTATTCATATACATTCGATAATAATTCCCTTTAATCTTCAAATTACATCAGGTCTTCAAATCTTTAAAATTAGATATTTTACTCATAGATTGTTCATAATGTTTTGAGTTTGAATGTTACTGGTTTAAATAAAAGACTGAATAGGAAAACCACGGACTAGTATTTGATATAGATAATGCATATAATTTACTTTTTTTCCCTCTTTTGAAACATCTTTGATGAAAGTGTTGATTCACAGAATGTGATACAAATCACGAACTCGACTTCAAAAGCGTCTTGATATGGGTTTCTTTTGCTTTAGAAAAAAAACTTCCTTGTAAATTCTACTTGCTAAATAATAGACTACAGATCTAGACTATCTTGTCTCAAATTGCAAAGGTACATCGGGTATATCACGCAGTCTGAACTGTCTTGATAGGACGGAATTCCTTGTACTAATATAATCTTTCAATCTTGATATCGTGCAAAGTTTGCTTTCATACAAGCTTTTAATAACAGAGATGTATTACTCACAAGTGTGAAACACATAAATAATAATGTTTTGATTTGTGATAATACGGATGTAAAAGAACGGTAACCAATGCTACACTAAATCATATGTAACTTTTATTTTAATTTAATTCGTCGCAACCTAAAATAGAATTAGAAATAATTATTGTGTTTCCTTATGTTAAAGATGTTTATTAGATGCAAATAATGCTCAACTTGCAAAAACACATGAAATTAAGTAGAATAATTCTTATGAGAACTTTTCAATTAGTTTGTGATATATGACCTATACGTGTTATGAATATATATCTACAGCGTAATCTATACACACATACATATAATAAGTGTAATCACTTCTTTCGACGTCCACAATAACGATATAAAGGTCATGCTATTTGAAGACGAAATGACGCTAGTATATAAATGAATTTGACAATCGTATCATTTCTCCACTCGTAATTTATGTCGAATAAAATCAGTAATTTTCATCATTGATATTTGAGTTCATTTCTGACAAAATGTATGAAGCTTGCCCATTAGCTTTTATATTTGCTTGTAAAGGCTTGCAAAAGCGAAAAATACAGAATTCGTTGTATAAATTTCATTTCACTTGAAAATGAATACTAATGTAAAATAACCCACACACAATAAATAAATAAATAAATAAATAAATAAATAAATAAATAAATAAATAAATTATTATGAATTATGTGTTATGGAAAGAATTCAGTGTAAAACTTTTTGTTTCACTTTTTATTCATTTTTATTTTATTAAATATAGTTATTATTTTTATTTCTATTAATTATTATTATTATTATTATTATTATTATTATTATTATTATTATTATTATTATTATTATTATTATTATTATTATTATTATTATTATTATTATTATTATTATTATTATTATGTTAGCATGGGTCGATCTAATGTTGTGTTAGAAACATCGTGTTTACTTAAATCGTAAATGTGATTAGTGTAATCACGAGCGTTGTATGATAGCAAATTCGTCACCAGAAAACATTCAGAATTAGCTATGTGAATTTGATAATTGTTCATGCTTTCCTAATACGTAAATTTGGCATTGCGAAATTATACGTGTCCTCCATGCATGTGTAGATGAAACGACGTATTAGTGTCCTTTATATGCTTAGTTATCTGTAAGAGAGACAGACTGGTAGCCGATTTCAATATTTTAGAGTGTCAAATAGCTTCTATTACCTTAAAAAGGGTATTTTTTGCTGGAAGAAGCTGTCGGTTCATGTGTCTACGTAGAACGACACGTGTTTTGTTAGTGAAGATAATTGTACTTCGTCTACTTACTAAATATTTATTTTCCCTTAAGAATAACACTGCTTGTTTTGGACAAAGACATTTTGTGAAATTCGTTTAACATGGAGCAGAATAAAATAAATTGTGCTTCACAGTGTACATTCTGTTGCTTTTGTGTGTTAGCCTTCGTCTGACGTCGTCATTTGCCATCTTGGACCGGAACTGAACTTCAGACTGTGTCAATTTATAACTGTTCACAGCACTTGTGTGTTTTCATATCTTTAGAATAAATATTTGGATCCCCTTTGTCAGTCTGTAAGTCTTGTCTCGTTTATTTAATTTTTCTCATGTTTTTCAGGGAAATAAATTTTGTTAAAATTTACAAAGCTTGTTGTCTTCACTCTTTCTATATATATGTTTGTTGAGATTTTAATATTGTAGGCAAAAACTATGGACAGAAGAACTAATGAAAAAATGATTTTAATGTTAATTAAGTGACGATATAAAGAGTATAGTTTAGAATAACAAGTTCAAAGAATAGAATCGAACAATCAGCTATACTAAGATTCTGAACTTTACACTCTGTATCAGCACTTATTTAACATTAAAAACATAATTTCATTAACTTTTATGTCCTCAGTTCTTGCCTACAAGATTAAAAACCCAACAAATTATGAAGTTTCGTCTACAGTATAAAACAAATAGAAGTAGTTTTTGCATTGATAGTTCTGATCCACGGTTAAAAATAAAAACGTTTTCTCTCCTGATTGCGTGGACTTTGCTTGGACCTCTAGCTTGTTTGAAACTATCATGTGTTACGTTATCATTTTTCACGTCTAATTCGATTCATGATTGTTTAATATTGATCAGCACGACATTGTTCCTAACATATATTTTGACCAATTTTCGAGCTACAAATATGTTTGTATCTGGTTAGATCATTGAGCC